AGCTAACTGTTGACTGTATTGTTAGGAGAGGAGTACTTTAATAGTAACTGATAACTTCTTGATGTCTTGTTCAGTAGCTAACTGTTGACTGTATTGTTAGGAGAGGAGTACTTTAATAGTAACTGATAACTTCTTGATGTCTTGTTCAGTAGCTAACTGTTGACTGTATAGTTAAGAGAGTACTTTAATAGTAGGTGATAATTCTTGATGTCTTGTTCAGTTAGCTAACTGTTGACTGTATAGTTAAGAGAGTACTTTAATAGTAGGTGATAAGTTCTTGATGTCTTGTTCTGTTAGCTAACTGTTGACTGTATAGTTAAGAGAGTACTTTAATAGTAGGTGATAAGTTCTTGATGTCTTGTTCTGTTAGCTAACTGTTGACTGTATAGTTAAGAGAGTACTTTAATAGTAACTGATAAGTTCTTTATGTCTTGTTCTGCTAGCTAACTGTTGACTGTATATTTAAGAGAGTACTTTAATAGTAGGTGATAATTTCTTGATGTCTTGTTCAGTAGCTAACTGTTGACTGTATAGTTAGGAGAGGAGTACTTTAATAGTAACTGATAACTTCTTGAAGTCTTGTTCAGTAGCTAACTGTTGACTGTATAGTTAAGAGAGTACTTTAATAGTAGGTGATAATTTATTGATGTCTTGTTCAGTAGCTAACTGTTGACTGTATAGTTAAGAGAGTACTTTAATAGTAGGTGATAAGTTCTTGATGTCTTGTTCTGTTAGCTAACTGTTGACTGTATAGTTAGGAGAGGAGTACTTTAATAGTAACTGATAACTTCTTGATGTCTTGTTCAGTAGCTAACAGTTGACTGTATAGTTAAGAGAGTACTTTAATAGTAACTGATAAGTTCTTTATGTCTTGTTCTGCTAGCTAACTGTTGACTGTATATTTAAGAGAGTACTTTAATAGTAGGTGATAAGTTCTTTATGTCTTGTTCTGCTAGCTAACTGTTGACTGTATATTTAAGAGAGTACTTTAATAGTAGGT